GGGACTGATGCTGACTAACGGCCTGGCTGGCAGCCATAGACGCAACGGGCACCTTTCGGGCCCATCAGGCCTTGGCTCAGAGGAGGCCAATTCCCGGCCCCTGCCTCATGCCAGGGAAGGTGTGGCCTGGCGGGAGGGCACGGGGCCAGCACGCCACTCCACCCACTCTGGGCTTAGCTAGCTGGTTTGGTTTTGGGTCCTGACTATGTTTCTGAGTGCCACTCCCACGGGCTAGAGGAGAGAGCCCGTGAGCCCACCTCTAAATCCCGTGATGGTGTTTGATGGGGCTGGAGGCCCCACAGTGTCCATGTTGCCCCTGCTGTGTCAGGCACACAGTGACCCCAGTTAGTGAGCGGGCCCCACCAGTGTCCACCTGGAGGGGGAGTGGTTTCCTGCCTGTACCAGCCTGGCCCCACCCATGTGATTGTTCGATAGAAGCCCTTGCTGGTCCACCAGTGGAGGTGGCGAGCTGCCTCAGCGCAGGTCCCCTGCCAGGTGTCCCAGGGTTCAGGAGGGAGGGGCCCTGTCTTCCAGGCTGGGTGAGGATCATAACTTGCGGCCCTCCCATGCCCCCACAGAGGGAGAAGAGCTGGCAGGAGGGGCAGAGGGCCTGGGCTTCCCGCCCCAGGAGCCACTGCGCAGTGAGCAGGTGAAGACCATCCCCGAGAGCCCTTCAGCAGAGCCGCACTGCTGGCCCACAGAACCCGCGTCCCGGACAGGCGCCGAGCCCACCTGTAGCCAGGGTAAGACGAGTTGGGAGCCGCCAGGGGAGCTTTGCCTGGAAGGATGGCCGGGGGGGGGGGGGGGGGGGCGCTGGATCACAGGGTGAACAGCTTGCCAGGGGGCACCTGGGAGGACCCAGGGGTGGGGAAGCCAAGTGGAGTGGCAGCTGGGCAGGGAGGCCTGGGCTGAAGAGCTGGGGAGTGGAGAGCCCCTCATTCTATCTCCAGCTCCACAGAGACTAGCGAGGGCCGGTGGCCGGCCCAAGCTGAGGCTGCTTAGTCCCGGGGAGGAGCCTCCCCAGACTAGGGGCCAAGGGAGGGGCTGATGTGCGGAGGGAGGAGTCAGGGGCCGGCAGAGGGGTGGCCAGTCCTGCCAGACCACTGTCCGTGTTGTCGTCAAGACCACTGTCCGTGTCGTCGTCATCCTTTCCCAACTGGCCAGCCCCCCTTGGGGATTCCTTAGGTTCAAGGATCTCACCGACCCTACTCAGGGCATAGGGCCTGCTGCCAGCCCCTCGGAGCCAGGCGTGGGCTCTGAGTAAGTCGCGCTCCTTTTAAAGCCATGGGACCTCGGAGGAATGTGGAGACCAGCCAGGCTGACCCCAGGGCTCCTAACTCTTACAGCTTCCTGGAGGCTGCCAGCCCCGGAACTGCTGCCTCCAGGCTCTGGGGATATGCAGCTCTGGAGCGGAGGGGAAGTGGATGCCCCGGGGCCAAGCGACTTGGCTCCGGGCCCCCGCATCCTCCCTGGGGTGTGGACACCATTAGGACGTGCGTCCTAGCATTGTTGCAGGGATGCAACAGTTCGTGTGTGCACAGCCCCTGGAGGGCCTGCAGAGTCCCTGGGAAAGCTCCAGGGGCTTGCCTGTATCCTAGTCGCCAGGCCCCGCAGCCCAGAGCCAGACGGGCAGTCAGGGGGGCAGACACAGGAGGCCGGGAGCCTGCCGGCCAGCACACACCAGAGCATCAAGAGAAAGCACCCTCGGTCTGACGCGGCAGGAGGAGGCGTTCTTGGTGGCCTCTGTCTTCCAGAGGGGAAACTGAGGCCCGAGCCAGGGAAGGGCAGGCAGGCCCAGGAGGCTGTGAGCAAGGCTCAGCTCCCACGGTCCACCCCACAGTCACCAGCTCCAAGGTACCCAGCAGTGCGAGTGCCCAGCCACCAGAGGGCCCCCCCGGCAAGGCAGAGCCCGGCCGGGCCAAGTCGCGCCTCCTGCCCAGCATGCCAAAGCTGGTCATCCCCTCGGCCGCCACCAAGTTCCCCCCTGAGATCACCGTCACGCCGCCCACCCCAACCCTGCTCTCACCCAAAGGCAGCATCTCGGAGGAGACCAAGCAGAAGCTGAAGGTGACCACGGGTGCCGAGTGGGGGGCGTGGGCGGGACGTGGCCTATAGGCGGGACTGGGGCCAGGCCCGGGCCACCCCTGACCAGCTCCCTGCCCGCTCTGTGTGCAGTCGGCCATCCTGTCTGCCCAGTCGGCCGCCAACGTGCGGAAGGAGAGCCTGTGCCAGCCGGCCCTGGAGGTCCTGGAGACGTCGAGCCAGGAGTCCTCGCTGGAGAGCGAGACCGATGAGGATGACGACTACATGGACATCTGAGGGCTGGGGCCGCTCCCCCCCCACCTTGGCCTGAGCCCCTCGGGGCGTGCCAGGCCCAGGCGGAGCACTGTTTTTCCCCCACGCACATCCCGGTCCGCTCAGCCTCCATCCCTCGCGGTGTCCTCCCCACTGGCCTGGGCCGTCGTCTGTCCCCGCCGCATGGGGGCCCAGAGGAGACTGAGCTTGGCCACATGAAGATGGCCACAGCTCACACAGCAGGGCTGGCATCCTTTTCTATGAAATGTTGACTTTGTATAACCGTGCCCACGCCCAGCCCAGGTGGCCGTGTCCACACCTCGACGCCCGGATGAGCCGGCTCCTGCCTGTGTCACAGTGGAGGGGTCATTTAGGGTTGGGCTCACCCTATTCCCTTTTTTTGGTTTCTTTTCTAATAAAGATGGAACAGTTGTCTTTGCCTCTTTGTTCAACCCCCGGGGGCCTCCCCCAACTGGTTGCTGTCCAGGGTTTCTGGGCCCTTCTTCTTGTTGGTCAGGGACCAGCCCTTGGGCATCCCAGGAGCAGGCAGGGGTTGGAGGGAGGGGAGTGAGTCAGTGGGGAGAGGTGAACACAGGCCAAGCAGGGCAGACCCTCTGGGTGGGACTGGAGCCAGGCCTGGAAGGGCTCTCCAGAGTGTCCCCTGAAGGACTCAAAAGAGTGTGGGGTGTGCCCCTGTGGAGTGTGGGCAGGGGTGGGAGGAGGGGGCTGCAGGGGACCCTGAGAGGTAGGGTCAGTGTCAGGAAGGGGGACGCGGGGCCTGGCAGGAAAGGTACTTACCTCCCACCACACTTGCCCTCTGATAGAACTGGCCATATAAGTTGTGGGGCTCAGTGCAACATAATGGGGGTTCCTTGTCCAAAAATTCATTCTTTAGAGGTGACAGCAGAGCATCATATAAACCCACGATGCTGGCTCTGTTCTCTCAGGCTCCAAGTACATCTGTTTTGGGGGGGCACAGGTTGTGGGGGCCCCAACCAGCCCTTCACAACCCGATCGGTGCTTTGGGGACCCAGCTGTCTTCCCCTCATAGATCTAAGCTGGCCCTGCCCCCAGGGGTCTCCCTGGAAAGGCTCTCTGTCCGGGAGGGAGATGGGGATGCTCCTTGCTGCCCTGTGCCCCTCATGGGCTGGGCACCGCCAGGGTCCCCAGCACACGCCTGGCAGAGCCATCATGGGGACCCAGGAGCATAGCAGCCTTGGAAAGACCCTTGCCAAAACTGCCCCGATTCAGGCTCTTTGCAAGGTGGGGCCAGCAGTTACTCAGTTGATGCCCCCTCTCCAAATTCCTAGCTTCTCAGACTGGAGTGTCCAGAAAGAGGAATTTCTGGGAACAGCCCAGCAAGTCTCCCAGGGCTTCCTGGCTCTCAGGACCCCAGGACACCTGGGATCCATCCTGGGAGCATTCCTGTCATCTTCCTTCCTCTAACCTGGGCCATAGGGAACACCTTCGACCCTGGGCCTGGGAAAAGTCCCAGCACCAGTCCCCGACACCTGCCTACAGAGGGTGACCTGAGCACCTGGCAACCAAGCAGGGACATGTGACTTCTAAGTGCCCCAACTGGCTTTCCTGACACCTATAGGAGCCGCCTCTCTGATGAAACTGCAGGCCCACACACCCGACAGGAAGGGGTGGTGCCCAGGGCACAGGGGCTGGCCAGATCCCAGGAACTGAGATGGGTCACAGCCAGGTGGCCTAAGCTCATAGCCGCCGCCAGCTTCAGCTCCCTTCGAGGTCTGGGGATGTGTCCCCTTTGGATGCCGCCCCTGGGGAGAGAACCATCTGTCTGTCTGAACACCCAGCCCAGGTGGCAGGGCCCAAGTGGGTCCCAGGCCTCAGGAGTGGAGTGGGGGTCCCCAAGAAGCTGCCTGGGCCCTGGCCCAGCCCCGCAGCCCCTCCCAGTGACCTTGACCCCACCTGTCTACATCTGGACCTCCGTTTCCTCCCCTGCACAGTGAGAAGGGAGAACGTGGAAGAGATTATGCAAATTCTACGAATGATAGCCAGGGGTGGGTGGGGCTGGGCGGCCCTTCTCTGGAGCCCTGTTTCATTTGCCTTCCCCACTCCAGGGATTCCAGAGCAGGGGGTTCTGGTCTCAGCCCCAAACCCACTGTTAACCTGCCCTGGCTGGGCCCCTCCCACAGCCTTCACCTCCCCACCAAAGGGGTTCCGCTCCTCCAGCCCTCCTTCAGCACCCACGCACACCAGGAAGTTACTTGCTCCCCCCTCCCTGCGAGGCTGTGGGGAGGAATTGGGAATACCTGCTCTGGGCAGGGAAGCTGAGGAAGAGGGATGAGAGGTCTGTGGCTGCGGGCCCCTGGGCGCTACAATCCTGAGATTGCGAGAACCACCCCGCCCAATCGCTTGGAGCCCCGCCCTGGCTGCCCCGGGCTGGGCCAGAGGTGGGATCCGGTGGTCTGGGTCGCAGCCTCTGGGCATGGGGATCCAACCCCTGGAGGCTTGAACGCCCTCCCCCCCGTGTCCCGGGCTGGCGGGCCAGGAATGTGCTAACGGGGCAGGCTGGGCCCTACCGGCCCCCAAGGGGACCTGTGGACTTTGAGAGGGGACCGGGCGGGGCGGGGCGGCAGCGCTGTGCGCCGGGCGGGCGGGGCCAGGCCGAGGGGAGTTAGGCGGCCCGCCGCCGCCCAGCCACTGCCGCGCTGCAGGCTGCAGACTCAGGCCGGACCATGACGCTGCCCCTCCTGCTCTGGGCCGTGCTGCTGCTGCTCGACACAGTCCCCGGGCCGGGCCCCCGGCCTGCAGCAGGTACGCCCCCACCCTGCGCTTCTATCCCGGGCTCTGTCTGCCTGCCTCCCTGCTGCAGCCAAGCCCAGGGTAGACCCCTCTGCTCAGCCTGTGTCCATCTGCCAGGCCATCTGGGACTGTACTGGGGGCTGTGAGAAGAAATTCTGGGGTGCCCAGGGTCCGGGGACTGCTGGCGGGATGGAGTCTGGGCTGTGCCTACCCTAAACCCGCTGGGAGCTGGGAGGTACCGGCTACCTGCAAGGGAGGCGGCCCAGGGGCGGGTGGAGGGCTCAGGAGAGCCCCCGGCCCGCAGCCCCGAGCCCCCGTGGAGGGTGTGCTCACAGGTGGAGGAGCCCCCAGCCCTACTGACCCCCCTCACTGGTGAGAGGCAGGATTGTGGGTCCTTATTAGGGTGGGGCTGAACCCGGGAAAGTCTTGGGGAAGGCTCCTACTCCGAGCCTCACGCTGGGCTGGGCTGAGCTGGCAGTGACAGGCTCCCGGGTAACCACCCCCACCACACCCCTATCTCCTATCTCAGGGAAGCGCCACCACCCTTCAGCCACTTAACCTCACTTACTGGCCTCCCTCGGCCTCCTCCCCCACTCCCTTGAGCCATCTGTCAATAAAAATTTATTGACGCTCTTGAGTGCCAGGCCCGGCACTGGGTGAAATGGGGTCACCGGGGTGGCTCAGGTCCAAACCCAGCCCTTGACTGGCCCCCGTTGGTGGGGTGGCAGGGAAGGGCCAGGTGGGACGTGTGATCCCTGCCTCGGTGTCTCTGTCGCCCCTCAGTCTCCACCCTCCAACCTGCCCCACCACTCCCGCTACAGAGGCACAGATTCCCTGAAGATATGGCCCTGTTGTGGGTCCCCGTGGTGGTAAGAGCTGAGGCCTGATGTCCACGGCCCCACACCAGACCACCCTCTCCCTCACCCTGGCCCCACTGGGCCCTCGGCTGGAGATGACCCTCCTCTCCCTTAAGGGTGGGGCTCCTTTGGGGGCCACAGCCAAGCCTGGGAATGAGCCCCTGCCAGGCCTCCAGTGGGACTTAGCAGCCATGTACCCAGACTCCAGACGGGCCGCCAGTCCGGGTTCACTGACCCTTCAGGGAATAGAGACAGCTCCCAGGCCAGGTCAAGGGCTCAGCCACCTCTGGCCATCTGAGGATGCGGTCTTCCGGGACTTGGTGGCTGAAGGCCAGTCCTGCCCTAGAGGCTCCTCTTGATGCTGCAAAAACGTATGTCTGGAGGCCTTTCCCCTTATCTTCCCTCCTTCTGGCAAGTCATTCAGGCAACTGCTAGATCATTTGTACCAAGGATCCCTCACCCCACGGGGCCCCTGGGTTTCTACTGTGTTCACTTGGTGGTCAGTGAGACTCCTGGGGATGCTTCTCACTCATGGGCTCCGGGAAAATAATCGCCAGCCCTGCCCGTGGGGCAGCCGGGCGCTCAGGGCCCTCTCCTGCAGGTGCCGGGGGGAGCTGCTCCCACCGCTGTGGAGACCAGGATGGGCTGTGCTCCTGCCACCCGACCTGCTCCGGCCTGAGCTCCTGCTGCTTGGACTTTTGGGACTTCTGCCTAGAAGTCTCACCCTACTCGGGCTCCATGATGGGCGGCAAGGACTTCGTAGTGCAGCACCTCAGCTGGTTCAACCCCACCGATGGCGTGATCTGCAGGTGGGAGGCCCGAGGGGCTCCGTGCCTGCTGGGGGCCCAGGGGCAGCTCCTGGCTGGGGTCCCCCCACCCTGGCCCAGCCTTTCCTGCCACCTGCAACCTCCACAGGTTTAAGGAGAGCATCCAGACCCTCGGGCATGTGGACTCCTCTGGACGTGTGCACTGTGTGTCCCCCTTGCTCTATGAGACGGGCCGCATCCCCTTCACGCTCTCCATGGACAATGGTCGCTCCTTTCCGCGCTCGGGGACCTGGCTAGCCGGTGAGCCCTGTCTTCCTGAGCCTTGGCGCCCACCCCCACAGGGACTTTCCCTGGCGCTAATATAGGCACGCCTCGCCTGCCTGGGCAGTGCCCGGCTGCCCTGGCTTAACCGGTCCTTCTGAAGGTGCGCCCGACGGGGGCGAGCGTTCTCAAGCTCCTCTCCCCAGCCCCTGGCATCCACACAGGACAGCCGGCCCAAAAGGGGGCTGGGGGCTTCGGGGGTTCCCCCGGCAAGGCAGGCCACTCGACTCGGCCAGGCCAGGGGAAGGGGGGAAGCCAGGTGGAGGCCAGAGGCCTGGGCAACATAGGGCAGGGCCCCACCTCTCCCGCAGCCTCTGTCCTTTCCTGACACGAGGGTCCGGGGGAGACCATGCTCTAATAGGACTGCCACGCCTCGTCCCTGGGAGGGCACCCCCAGCTCGCAGAGCCCCTGAGGCCTCAGGCCTTCGCTCACCTCACCCCCTGCCCAGTGCACCCCAGCAAGGTGTCGGAGACGGAGAAGAGCGAGCTGGTGAACGAGACCCACTGGCAGTACTATGGCACCACTGGCATCACGGGCAACCTCACCGTGACCTGGGAGCCCTCGGCTCTGTCCACGCAGTCTGTCACCATCGAGCTCTGGGGTTATGAGGAGACAGGTAAGGCCGGCCCAAGGCTGGACCGGCGGAGGAGCTCTGTGGGCCCGTAGGGTTGGGAGTTTAGGGCTTGCAGAGATGGGAGCAAGGAGGTTCCAGGCAGGGCCCAACCCCAAGCGGGGATTTTGAGCAGGAAGAGTACAGGCAAGAAAGGGGGACTGGGGAAAGTGTGGGAGTTCGGGGGCAGGCTGGGAACCCCCAGCTGCTTGCACCCAGCTCCAGGAGGAGGTATGGGCATTCCCAGCCCTTGGATCCAAGGCTTGCCTTGGAAACAGAAAAAGCTTGCTCCACCCAGCCTCCCCAAGCCCCTGCACCGCTAGCCTGGCTCTAGGCCTTGCCTCGAGCTGGGGCTGGGACCCTAACGTGTGGGACGAGGGGGTGGTGGTCCCTTGAGCCAGGATCCTTGCTGGGGCAGCAGGGCAGGTCTTCCTCTGGTAATCCTCTTGTCTGTCCATCTGTCGGGCCTGTCCGAGCACCAAAGACGGGCGCCTGGCCCCTCCTCTGCCCCAGGACTCTTTGGAGGGCCCCAGGGGCTGACTGAGGCCTTCTCTCCCTTAGGGAAGCCCTATTCAGATAAGTGGGCAGCAAAGTGGTCGTACCTGTACCCCCTGGCCACAAGCATCCCCAACTCTGGCTTCTTCACCTTCACTCCGAAACCCGCACCTCCGACCTATCGGAAATGGGAAGTGGGTGCACTTCGGATCATCAACAGCAAATACTACGCAGGGGAGAAGTAAGGGCCACCAGCCACGCAGAGGACGGGCTGCTGGGCCTGGGCCACTGCTCCGCAGGCTGGACAGGGAGGCCCGGGGCTGCGGGACGGAGGGTGGGAGCGGCCCTTAAGTGTGTGCATGGCCCTCACAGGGACGTGCAGGCGCTCTGGAGCAGCGAGCACGCGCTGGCCTGGCACCTGGGTGAGGACTTCCGGGCGGACCCTGAGGCCTGGGCCCGGGCTCAGTGCCTGGCCTGGGAAGAGCTGGAGGACCAACTGCCCAACTTCCTGCAGGAGCTGCCTGACTGCCCCTGCACCCTGGCTCAGGCCCGGGCTGACTCGGGCCGCTTCCACGTAAGCCCCTACCCCAGTCGGGGCCCAGGAGAGGGCGAGGGGCCAGCTGGAGGCTGGCAAGGGTGGGCGGTAGATAGAGGCCCCAGGGAGGGGAGGCTGGGGTCTGAGGGCCCTCAGAGGTTGGCTGCCAGGGAGGGGATGGCAGAGCCTGAGGCTAGCCCAGGTGACAGCAGCCTCCCGCTCTGCAGACGGACTATGGCTGTGACATTGAGCGCGGCAGCGTGTGCACCTACCACCCCGGGGCCGTGCACTGTGTGCGCTCCGTGCAAGCCAGGTGAGTCCCCAGTTGGGGGGGGGGGCGGGGCCCCAACAGCGGCCCTGACCTGTCCTCGTCCCCAGCCCCCAGTACGCCTCCGGCCAGCAGTGCTGCTACACAGAGGCCGGCACGCTGCTCCTGACGGCCGACTCAACCGGGGGCAGCACCCCGGACCGCGGCCACGACTGGGGCGCGCCCCCGTTCCGCACACCGCCCCGTGTGCCTGGCCTCTCGCATTGGCTCTACGATGTCGTCAGCTTCTACCACTGCTGCCTCTGGGCGCCCGAGTGCTCCCGGTACATGCGGCGGCGGCCCTCCAGTGACTGTCGCAACTACCGGCCGTCGCGCCTAGGTGGGTGCCAGCCGAGGCTGGGCCCCGGGCAGGGCTGCACCCGCGCGGCCCCCCTGACCCTCTGCTCTCCCCAGCCTCCGCTTTTGGGGACCCACACTTTGTCACCTTCGACGGTGCCAACTTCTCGTTCAACGGGCGTGGCGAGTACGTGCTGCTGGAGGCCACGCTGACCAACTTGAGGGTGCAGGGGCGGGCCCAGCCCCGGACGACTTCAGAGGGTGAGGCTGGGGCCCCGCGGGCTCCGGGAGGCTCAGGGCCTTCCCAGGAGGAAGGCTGGAGCTGAGCGCTCTGCGTTCTGCACGCGCCACCGCAGGCCCGCAGGACCGGGGCACGGGGCTGGTGGCCGTGGCTGTGCAGGAGGGCAACTCCGACGTGGTGGAGGTCCGGCTGACTGGCGAGGGGCGGGTCCTGCAGGTGCTGCTGAACCAGGAGGTGCTCAGATTCACCGAGCAGAGCTGGATGGACCTGAAGGGTGAGTGCGATGGCCGGGGAGCTTCCTGGGGCTGCTCTCGTGCCCTTTCCCTCCCGCCTGAGCCTCCATGCCTCTCACCGGCATGGCCCTGGGCTTCAGAGCGTGGATGCGGAGATGGAGGCCTCTCGATATGATCCATATGCTGTCCCCAGCATAGTGATGCAAGTCTGCCCCGCTCCCCTGCACCCCACGGTGAGGGGCCCAGCACAGTGGACACATGTCCCCAGCCCACGGCTGTCTGGGCAGGTGAGGTTCTGGGCCCAAGGTAGGGAGGTCCAGCCTGGGGACCTGGTCTGATCTCGTGCTTTCACACCCATGGAGCCCCAGACATGTGATCAGAACCCCGAGATGGCCGGACGGTGGGACGAGGAGCTGGAAGCTGCAATAATAGGAACTGCCTACTTTGAGGATGCTGGCTGGCCCTGAGGGCTAAGGAGCAGCCCCCTGCGCACCCCCTTCCCTGTGCTGCCTCAGGGAACTGAGCTAATGAAATGAGTTTCTTGCGGTTGGGATGGGTGGGGACCTGGGATGGGCCTGCTGCTGCTGAGGCTGCAGGGAACCCCCAGAAGGGCAGAGGTGGGCATGGCTGCTGCCTTCCTCAATGAGTGAGGGCCGACGGGGGACCCCCAGGCAGGGTCTCAGTGTGAGGGGTCCCTTCGGAGCCTGGGCACTTGGTGTCAGTGTGGGGGTCCCAGTACAGATGTGGGCCTGGGTTGAGGGAGTGTCACAGCAGGGCTGGCCCTGGGGACGCCCTCCCCTTCCCTGGGAGCCCACGGATGCTGACCCTCTCATCCTGGGGCTGTGGAGTCACGGCACGGTGCCCTGAGTGGGCAGCCCTGACCCCAGTTCCACCTGTGCCCAGGTATGTTCCTGTCCGTAGCTGCCCAGGACAGCGTATCCATCATGCTGTCATCAGGTGCTGGCCTGGAGGTCAGCATCCAGGGTCCATTCCTGAGTGTGACTGTCCTCCTGCCTGAGAAGTTCCTTACCCACACACAAGGCCTTCTGGGGACACTGAATGATGACCCCACCGATGACTTCACCCTGCGCAATGGGAAGGTCTTGCCCCACAAGGCCACTTCCCGTGAGCTCTTCCACTTTGGGGCCGACTGTGAGTGACCCTGAGGCCCACTGGGGGTGGGGGGCAGGGGGACATGGCCCTGGAAGTGAGGGGAGAGACCCCAGAACCCTCGGCCACCAGCAAGACCTGCTGCGTGTCTCCCCAGGGGCCGTGGAGAATGCCTCATCTCTGCTCACCTATGACTCCTGGGTCCTGGTCAACAACTTCCTGTATCAGTCCAAGCATGACTACAGCTTTCAGCCCCTGTTCCCCGAGGAGACCGTCCCCGACCCCAGTCAGGCCACTGAGGCAGCTGAATTGTGTGGAGACAACGATTTCTGCATGTTCGACGTGATGGCCACTGGGAACCTGAGTGTGGGCAATGCTACGCGGATGGCCCACCAGTGGCACCAGCATCGCGTGCAGAGCCTACAGCCTGGTGAGGGCGATGGGGTGGGCACTTGATGCTGGGACATGACCTCCTAAGCTGGCAGCTGTAGCGGTGGTCAGCCAGTGGCTTCATCCTGTGGTCTGCTCCTGGCCCCCTACCCCCAGTGACGTCCTGCGGCTGGCTGGCTCCGCCCCCCAATGGGCGCAAGGAGGGTATCAGGTACCTGTTGGGCTCCACCGTCTCCTTCCACTGCGACAGCGGCTATAGCCTGTTTGGGGCGGAGGCCAGCACCTGCCAGGCTGATGGCACCTGGTCCAGGCCCACCCCCATGTGCCAGCCAGGTGAGGATGCCCTGCCTGCCTGCCCCAGCCCCCCGCCCCCGCCCGCCCTCGGGCAGCCCTCACCACTCTGCCCCCTCTCCAGCGCGGAGCTACACGGTGCTGCTGAGCATCATCTTCGGAGGCCTGGCAGTGGTGGCTCTGGTCGCGCTCATCTATGTGCTGCTGCGTCACAGGAAGCGCAACGTGTAAGGCCCCTGCCCCCGCCCCTCCCCCCCGGACCCAGGGTTCTACCAGCGGGACCCCGTCTGTGCCCCTCCTTGGCTCTCCTGAGGCTCCGGAGTGCCCCCCATGTCTGCTCCAGACCATGTCTCTGTTGCAGGGCCAGCTGGGGTTCGCAGCCCTGAAGGGAGCGCCTTTGGCCAACAGCAAGAGGCACACGGGGCCACCCCGGAGAACATGCACCCCGACACTTCGATCCCCAAATCCCTAGCACCATTTACTGGGATCTGGACACCTGATAACCTGAGCCTTTAATGTCCGTGCACCCCAGACCTGGTGCCCTGCTCTGTCTCCTCAGACCTGGACCACCTGGCTCTAGCCGTGCAGCTCCCGAGAGGCATCTGGTCCTCTAGTCCCCGTGTAGTCTCAGCTCCAATTCCCCAGACTCCATACCCGTGAATTCTAACGCCTCTCTCCGGAGACCCCAACACTCGGGGGCACCTGAAACGCAAATGCTATACCTCAGATCCCATGTCGGATACCTGCGAGCCTGATCCACTGGTCCCCAGTGCCCCAGCACGGGAGCCCGAACACCCAGCTGCCTCGATTGCCGGACTTGGCCCGGCCTGAGTGGGAGAGGCCTCCGGACCCCAGCGTGGAGGGTCACTCTCTGAGCTCCAGGCTTGTAATTCTAACCCTGCTGGAATGTCACTTCTCTAACTCTACTGGAATGGCACTTCTAACTAACTCTACTGGAATGGCACTTGAAATACCCTTCCTTGTCCACCCAGAGAAAACAAGCCCGTGGTGCTCCCTCCCTGGTGTCCGGTGCTCATGCTACACTTCGGTTCTGGAGAGTTCCATGGTTGCCTTGTGGGGCCAGCAGCACCCAGAGCAACCTTAGTCCACTGGCAGGCCACCTGGGGTGGGTCCCTCCCTAGCTTGTCTCCACTGAAAAGTGGGATCGAGAATGGTGTCCACTTCGTGGGGCAAGTGTCTGCAAAGGGTTCAGGTGGAGTGTCCTGCTGGGCGCCCAGGAGACGGGATGGGGTCAGCACAGGCACCCGCCCCTTCCCCCAGCAGCAGGCTGGCCCAGCCTGGCCCTGGGCCCCTCCCCTGCACCAGCACTGCCCTGCAGGTAGGCAGTGACTGGTAGTTCCTGACCACAGCCCATGTTCTGGGTCCCTGGGTCCTTTACCCAGGCTTCCCGCTACTGCTGCCCTCTAGTGAGGGTGCTGAGTGGGGGCCAGGGGAGGGCCTTGGCAGCATAGGATAGGGCCAGGCTTGTCTCTGCGAAAGCAGAGTGGAGGGCGCGTGTGGAGGCTGGTGCCCCCTGGTCCAGGCCAGTGGCTCAGCCTGGGAGGTAGGGGCGGGAGGAGGTTGCCCAAGGGAGGCAGAACCTTGGGGTGCGAGGTAATGAGCGGAGGCCCTCTTCCCTGCGACCTGCAGTGCTGAGAGAGGCCACGTGGGGGCAGCAGAGGGTAGGAACAGAGATGGGAGGTGGAGGTTACACCAGGTCCTAGGAGAGGGCAGTCAGCGGCCGCTCCAGCTGGGCCAGTTGGCTTGTCACAACCTTGGCCAAGGCTCGTGCAGGCCCACTTCTGCATCTGTCTCTGCTAAGAGGGCCTTGAGTCATCCCCCGGTCTCAGGAGCACGGGCCGTCCAGCTGGCTCTGACCGCCAGGGTCAGAAGCGAAGCTTCCCCACACCGTTAGACTTGCCATTGGCTGAGGGTCCAGGGCAGAGGTGGGAAAGCTGCGCGGTAGGGGCAGGTGCAGTCTGGAAGGCTTCCTGGAGGAGGCAGTCTTGCACGATGGGGCACATTCAAAGGAACAGCGATGAGAGTGAGGGGTTGGGGGGGGGGTCTCCCTGGAGTGATACCCCAGAGACTAAAGGAGGGGGATGGGGTCAGTGCTTGCGCTTCCAGGCCCCATCCCCCTGCTTCCCCACTGGCTTCCCGCTCAGGGCAGGGTGGGGCTGAGGGCTGGCCCTTTGGCCACTGGGCAGGTACTTTCCTCTCTGCAGATGAGGTAAGGCAGGGCTGGCGCTTCCACCCACCTGAGTCCTCAGTGCTGGGCCCGGCACGAGCCCGTGGGTGACAGGGTGGTTTCCTTGTCGAGGCAGCCCGGGCCTGTGGGAGCAGGCACACCAGGGCCCAGGAGGGCAGGGGCAGCTTCACAGCTCCGGGGCCATAACTGAAAGCCTAGGTCAAATTCTCAGAGATGTGATTGGTCAGGGCGGATATTCCAGGCAGAGGAACAGCCTGGGCAAAGGCTCAGAGAAAGAAGTGCAGTCCGGTCTGAGGAATAGTGAGGCTCCTGGTCCACCAGCCAGTGGCGGTTAAGCTTCATCCTAAAAGAGTAAAACATGGCCTCCCTCTGGCTTCCCCACCCTACATTTGTCCCTCCAGGTTGGGACCGAGAGTTGCCCCCACCCATCCCCAGCAGGAGAAGGGGTGCACTGTCTGTGGCCCTGGCCCCAGACATCTGGCATTCCCAATGCCAGGGACAGGCCAGGCTGGGAAGCCCCGACACCTGACGGGTTTTCCCAGGGGCCTGTAGGGAGTCAGGGGCACCGTTGGGCCTGTGTGAGGCAGAAGGTCCCAGAGCCCCACAGAGACTCCCTTTAGAGACCTCAAAGGCAGGGACCACCGCCTTGGGAAGTGGTCTCCCCAAACCACAGTCCCAAGGCATCAGAAGCCAATGTCCAGTCCCCTACCCTTTGTACTGGTCAGGGCCTGAGGGACAGAAATCCAGGGAATTAGAAACACAGGGATGAGAGAATCGAGAAGTCAAATAGCTGGTGAGGATACCATAGGACCCCAGCAACAGCCCTGGGCCGAGGGACAGAGGAAGGAGGGTGCCAGAGCCAGGCCCAGGCGCTCACAAAAGTGGGAACCTCACAGCAGAAACTGTGCAGGCCCATGGGCCCTAGCAGGAGCCGCAGGCCCAAGATGGGCGAAGCACCTGCTTCTCCTGCCCTCCGGCCTCCCACTAGGGCCTCCTATTAGCTGAACACAGTGGGGAGCATAGGGCTGAGGGGCCAATACAGCACAGTGAGGAGCAGGGCCCCCTCCTTGGCCAGGCTGGTTCCTTCTGCAAGCCCTGGGGTGGCTGAGTGCCTTCCCTGGGCCACCTCTGTCCTCAGAGCTCACATTCCGATGGCTGCCCAGCAGGGAGGGGATCCTCAGTGCAGCATGTGTTGAGAGTGGGAAATCAAGGGATTCCTCCTGGAGGAGTCCCATTGCAGTGGAACATGAAAGGACAAAAACCATTAGGGAAGTGAGATTGAGTAGGTGCCTGCAAGCAGCAGAACAGCCCACGACACCCAGATACCTCTCCCGGGTTGCAGGCTAGACTGCATTTCCCAGCGCCCCTTGCACTGGGGTGGTCACGTGACTGAGTTCTCCTCGTGCAAAGTGAGCAGAAAAGTACAGGGCACTTGCAGGCCTGAGCCGTAACACTCCACCCGCATCCTTCCAAGATCTTTCTGTTGCAAGGGTGGCTCTGGACCCCGTGCCAACCTGGGTCCCCAGCATGTGGCAGGGAACCCTCTCCCTCCCTCCCTGACTGGTTCACCCATCCAGTACTACTACCGGAACAAGAAACAAACTTGGGATTAAACCATAATACATTTTTGGGTCTGTTTGTTGCAGTAGTTGGTTTCTCTATAATGCCAGAGGCAGGAGTGAGAAAAGGGCCTTACAATACTGTGGGCACAAGGTTTTTAAAAACTGAAAGATAGGCCAATGTTCGGGGCGCCTGGGTGGCTCAGTCGTTAAGCGTCTGCCTTCGGCTCAGGTCATGATCCCAGCGTCCCAGGATCGAGCCCCGCATCGGGCTCCCTGCTCAGCGGGAAGCCTGCTTCTCCCTCTCCCACTCCTGCTGCTTCTGTTCCCTCTCTCGCTGTGTCTCTCTCTGTCAAATAAATAAATAAAATCTTAAAAAAAAAAAAAAAAGATAGGCCAATGTTCATAGCAGTGTTACTCACAATCACCAAAAAGGTGCGAGCAACCAAGTGTCCACGGATGGCTGAAGGGGTAAAGGAAACATGGTCCACCCATGTGTGGAATGTTGTTCACGGGCTCTAACGCGGATGAACGTTAAGACATCTTGCTCAGTGAAATAAGCCAGACACAAAAGGACAATGCTGTACCATTCTGCTCATACAAAGTTCCTAGAGTCATCAAATTCATAGAGACAGTAAAATAGAGCTTACCGAGGCCTGGGTCAGGGAATGGGGAGTTAGTGTTTAATGGGGCCAGAGTCTCAGGCTGGGAAGATGAAAACGTTCTGCAGAGGAATGACGCCGATGGTTGCCCAAGACCGTGAAAGGCTTAATGCCACCGAGCTGGACACTTCTAAACGGTTACGATGGTAAACATTATGTATTTATGTACTTTACTACAATAAATAAAGAATTCAAAGTTTACTTAACTAGTCCCCGGTTGGTGGGCATGAAGCTGTGCTCAGTCTTTGGCTTCTTCAAACACTGTTGTCCCTTGTAAATAAGTCCAGGGTTACTTGCAGGAGCAGTTCATACCAGAGGACTGGCTGGTTAAACAGCACATGCATTTTCCTCCTGGAGTGATGCTCAATGACACTTACCCTAACCTACTGAGAGAGCCCGGTCCCCTCCCCCTCGTCAGTACAAGGAGGCTTCACATATTTTTTGCTCTTTGCCAGATAGACAAAACCTGTGCTGAGGCCCACCTCAACTTGGCTAGGCTGAACATTCCCAGAATTCCCGTCCTGGTCAGGATGGACCGCAAGAAAGAGTCCCATGCCCAGATTCGGAGGCAGGAAGCAAGTCGGCAGTCTCATTCATAGCTCACACTCATCACGGTGTGTCTGCTGACTCAGCTCATCTGCACCAGTAGAGGCCAAGGTTGCAGCGGCTTCACTTGCCCTCGGGCCACTTGCAGCTTCCCTGCTCCTGGGCCAGGTGCCTGACAGGGGAGTCCAGGAAACCTGTGTCTCCCTTGGCAACAAGAAGGCTCTTGGGTTTCGACCAAGCCATGTGGGCTCCAGCCAACAAGGGGGGTTCCAGCCAGCTCCGGATCCTCCCCTCCACCTAACACCCACCTGCCCTCCAGACTCTCTGCTACATGGACCTCAAGCTCCAACATCAGATGGAAGACAGCAGCCTTACAGAGGCCCCTTGACCAGCTTCCACAGTTGCAGGTTCTCTGATGGAACCCTGATAAATAAAGTATAAGTTGTATGCCAAGAAAGTACACCGCTCCGGGTCCAGCTCAATGAATTAAATCCAAAGTGAACATGCCCAGTTAACCACCACTCATGTCAAGAAATTGAACAGTACCAACCCCTTCAGCCCTCCCCCACCATTTTCTCTATCAGTCACTGCCAGGTTAGCCACTGATTTCTCACACCGAATGTTACTTTTGTGTGGTTTTGTACTTTAAATAGATAGAATCATAGAGTAGATCCTCTTTTGTGTCTGGCTTCTTTTGCATGTTTATGAGATTCATCCATGTTGAGGTATGAGGCTCAACCTCATACCTCAAAAGTCAAAAGTCATTGACTTTTTTTTTCCTGAATATTATTCCATCACATGAATTTGTTTATCGATTTTCCTACCGAGGCACGTTGGGTTGGTTCCTTAGTTTGGAGCTATAATGGCCAGTGCCGTGAACATTCTTGTTTGTGTCCTTTGATGCACAAATATATGAATTTATGTTGGCTAATTTCCCAGGAGCAGCATGCTGGGCATGAGGCATATGTGTTGGTAACTTTAGTAGATAATGCCAGTTTTCCCAAGTGATGTTAACAACTGACATTCCCACC